CTCTGCCTCCCGAGTGCTGGGATTAAAGGCGTGCGCCACCAACGCCCGGCATATATTCATTCTTATGTACCTGATCTTTCCTCCCAGATACATATTGTAAATATAAGACAAATATGTTTTAATGGCTGATGTGACTTTCCCACACTGAGTAGAATGGCTTTGGAAGTAGCAGTTCATGGCTCATAATCAGAATCAAAAGTCCATTCTTGTATTTTGGAAAAGTGGATACAAACACTGAATGAAACTTGAGTTACCTGCTTTAGTATCATACCCATTTATCTGGTATAATAGAAATAATTCAATTTCTCCCTTCTTTTCTCTTCCTGTCTAACCTTCTACCCATCTGTCTGTACATTTCTCTGTGAATCTGTCCATATTCATATCCATATCTATATCCATCCATCCACCCACCCACCCACCCACCCACCCACCCATCCATCCATCCATCCATCCATCCATCCATCCATCCATCCATCCATCCATCCACCCACCCACCCACCCACCCACCCATCCATCTTTACTCATAATACCAGGAAAACTGAACCTTGCATTTAGTGCTCAGTACATATTTATTGAACAAATGGATGAACACACTGCTGACAAAATCTGTTTGCAATAGTTGAATTCCATTAGCAAGTGCAGCTTACTCTACTACTTAAGATAGATATTAACAAATATAGCTTATGGTACTACTTAAAATAGATAGCTATTAAGTTGCTTTGTTTCAGGCACTAGGAGGAGGTTCTTACATGGACTAGAACTAAGAAATACTTTGTCAAAAAAGCTAGAAGATGCTCAGTTAATGAATTCTACTGGGTTTTTGTTTTGAGAGAGAATTTCTTCTGCTCAGTAACAGGTCTTGAACTTGTGACCCTTTGTCTTCTCTTGAGTGCTGGGCTTCCTGTGTGCACCACCAAGTTTGACTTCTAGATTTTTTTTAAATGTTCACTTGCTATAGACTACTCAAACTTATTTTCTGCTTTCAGTCTGTAGAATTCAGAGTTTTTGTTTCAGTGAAAATTTGTTCTGGTCTTAATGTCCCTTCTAACTCTTGTTTAAACTTATATTTTCACAGTAAGCCTCATGCTTATGGTTCCCCCATTAAAGGCTTATAACAAAGTCCTTAACATTTCTAACAAATAGTATCTTTTTAAAACTTTTTATTTCTTATCAGCTTCTGCGTTTTCCATATCTGTGTTCTGATTCATGAAGTGTCAAAGCTAACTTACATAATTAGTCTCTGTTCTACTCCTTTCTCTTGTTGTGACGGAATATCCTGGCAAAAGCTGCTTAGGGGAAAAAGGTTTTCTTATCATTCACAATTCCAGATTATAGTCCATCATTGTGGGTAAGTGACAGTGACAGGAGCTTAAAGCAGCTTATCACACCATGTCCACAGTCAAGACCAGGGAAAATAAGTGCATGTGTTCTCATGTGTGCTCATGTGTGCTCGCTTGCTTGTGTTCAGCTTGCTTTTCTTACCCTTCATAACTCAGGACCTCATGCCTAGCGAATGGTGCCTTTCCATAGCAGTTAACACAGTTAAGACCATCTGCTACAGATATGCCCACAGGCTAACCCAGAGTAAACAGTTCTTCAGTGAGACACTCTTTCCATGTGCTTCTATATTATTCCAAATTGGCAATTAAAGTTAGCCAGGACAATCTCTTTTAAAAATTGTCCCTTCTCCAAATAAGAATTTCAGAGATGGGCTTGAGAGATGGCTCTGTAAACGGAGGCTCTTCTTTGTCCCTCCCCATCCTGTAGCCATTTCCAACCTTTAAAGGTAACACACACACACACACACACACACACACACACACACACACACACACATTAACTGTGCATTGCACACAAGCCAGCCAAAGGTAATTTTTTGTTTGTTTTATGTTTGAGCATGTAAAATATATGTCATGTGTCTTGTAGTTACTTTAGATATATATTTTTTTTCTCATGTCTGTAGTTAGGATTTTCAGGGTCTTCCTTGATTAAACCTGATCTCTTCTAACTTGGAATGAATCCATAGACTCTCACCTTCTGTGGAAACAAAAGCATAATGTCTTCCCCAAAGTGGCAGACCTTTTGGCTTAAATTTTGTAGTCAAGGTATTTTTAAAATATACAGATTGGTTTAATCTAGTAGCTTCCATAACCAAATGTCTCATAGCAGTCAAAAATTTTAAAGACAACACAGTAATGTACATAATCCAGACTTTCTGTGCATTTTCCATCCTCATGTGGCTTATTTTCTTTATATTACTTTACTCCCCTTTCTAAGGACTTTATTTTACTATTTTAAATCTATATTTTAATTTAAGGCTGTATATGTATTTTCTCCTTTCTCTCTAAAGCCTCAGCACATCTTTTAAACACTCTGTTACCTGTTTAGAGGCCTTTCTGCTGAATTTGTTTTTACTGTGTTTCTTAACCCTTTGTCTGTATGAGCAAAAACCTTAACCTGCCCCGCAATGAGCTGCCAGAGCTTGTGCTGAATGCTTAAGCCCCCAAGCAGTGACTGAGAGAACCCTCTCTGTACCGTGGCTTCTGAGAAACTGTGGAAACATGCTACATGGCTTAGCTCATGGTGGTTGGTAGCTGGATTTATCTTGTTGGGAGATGTATCTCTGCGCTACTGCTGGCATGAGACTTTGAGATTAGGAAGTCCAGTGTGGCTCTGTTTCTGTGTGTTCAGAACCTTTTTTAAGCTTTCTCAGGTCTTATGTGGGTCCATGCCAGACTGTGGGTGCCATATGTAAACAGAGGCTTTTCTCTGTCCTGCCCCATCCCCTAGCCATTTCCAAATGATCACTCAGAGGCTTATATTAATTATAAATGTTTGGCTGATGGCTCAGGCTCATTATTAACTAACTCTTACATTTAAGTTAATCCATTTTTATTAATCTTTGTATCACCACATGGCCTGTGGCTTACCAGTGTTCTGGCATCTTGCTCCTTTGGTTACTGCTGTCGTCTGTCCTGACTTCACCCTTCTTCATCTCCATCTTCAGTTTGATAGTCCTTCCTAACCTTATTCTGCCATGCCATTGGCCAAACAGCTTTATCAACCAATGAGAACATCACATATTCACAACATACAGAAAGACCGTCCCACAGCGTGGCTCAGTGGTTAAGAGCACCTAGAGGACTTGGGTTTGGTTCCCAGCACCCACATGACAGCTCACAACCATCCATAACTCCAGTTTCAGGGATCAAATGACCTCTTTTGACCTTTGTGAACACCAGCACTCAACTGGCATACATGCATACATGCAAGCAACATACTCATGCATATAAAAAAAACAAATATGACAAAAAATTAATTAAAAGAGAATTTCAGTATTATTATCCAGATAGTAGATTGAATGTATAATTAAAGATGTTAGAAATGCACTTATCACATTATTTTGTGTTTGTTTCTGCCTATTCTAGTAGATTGAAAGGACCATACTTAAGGAGAGGTATTGTGCCATATTTATCCGTATAATCACTATCAATGCAAATGAATTTCATCTGTCTAGGTTAATGTTGATGATATTAACCTAGACTTTTTCTTTCTTTCTTTCTTTCTTTCTTTCTTTCTTTCTTTCTTTCTTTCTTTCTTTCTTTCTTTCTTTCTTTCT